GAGTACATCAAAGCTGTGTGTTGTCACCCTGCTTATTTAACTTCTGTGCAAAGTACATCATGCAAAATGCCAGGTTGGATTAAGCACAAGCTGGAATCAAGATTTCTGGGAGAAATATCAATAACCTCAGATATGCAGATGACACCACCCTTATGGTAGAAAGTGAAGAGGAACTAAAGAGCCTCTTGATGAAAGTGAAAGAGGAGAGTGAAAAAGCTGGCTTAAAACTCAACATTCAAAAAATGAAGATCATGGCATCTGGTCCCATTACTTCATGGCAAATAGTTAGGGAAACAATGGAAACAGTGACTTTATTTTCTTTGGCTCCAAAATTATTGCAGATGATGACTTGGAGCCATGAAATTAAAAAACGCTTGCTCCTTGGAAGAAAAACTATGACAAACTTAGACAGCATAATTGAAAAGCAGACACACTACTTGGCTTACAAAGGTTCATATAGTCAAAGCTATGGTTTTTCCAGTGGTCATGTATGGATATGAGAGTTGGACTATAAAGAAGGTAAAAAAGGCTGAGAGCCAAAGAATTTATGCTTTTGTACTATAGTGTTGGAGAAGACCCTTGAGAGTCCCTTGGACTGCGTGGAGATCCAACCTCAGTCCTAAAGGGAATCAATCCTGAATATTCACTGGAAGGACTGATGCGGAAGCTGAAGCTCCAATACTTTGGCCACCTGATGCGAAGAGCTGACTCATTAGAAAAGACCTTGATGCTGGGGACCTTGAACACAGGAGAAGAAGGGGATGACAGAGGGTGAGATGGTTGGATGGCATCACCGACTCAATGGACATGAGTTTGAGCAAGCTCCAGGAGTTGGTGATGGACAGGGAAGCCTGCTGTACTGCTGTCCATGGGGTCACAAAGAGCTGGACACGACCAGTCAACTGAACAACAACAACAAAGAAAAAATCAAAGTAGAAATGAAAAAAAATTAAGATAAATGAAAATGAAAATACAGCATACCAAAATTCATGTGATACAGCAAAGGTAGTACTAAAGAGGGAAGTCTGTAGCAATACAGACATATCTCAAATAAGAAAAATCTCAAATAAACAGCCTAACAATCTAATTTTACACCTAAATGAACTAGAAAAGAAGAACAAATGAATCCCAATAAAATATTTCAAAAACCCTCAAGAAAATATTAGCAAACTTAATACAATAATATATTAAAAGGAGCATACATTATATAAAGTGATATTCATTCCAGGGATTCAAGGATGGTTCAATGACTGCAAATCTATCATGATATACCATATTAAAAAAATGAAAGATAAAAATCATGTGATCATCTCAATTCAGTTCAGTTCAGTTCAGTCACTCAGTCATGTCCAACTCTTTGCGACCCCATGGACTGCAGCATGCCAGGCCTCCCTGTCCATCTCAGTAGATGCATAAAAAGTAATTAACAAGATTCAATGTCCACCGATGATAAAAAAAAAACACTCAATAAAATGGATATCAAAAGAATATACTTCAACATAATAAAGACCATACATGATAATCACAGCTAACATCATACTGAACAATGAAAAACTGAAACCTATCCCTAGGATGCCCACACTTACCACTGTTATTCATCATAGTATTGGAAGCCCTAGATAGAGCAGTTAGGCCAGAAATGGAAATAAAAAGCATCCAAATTAAAAAGAAAGAAGTCAAACTAATGCTATTTGCAGATGACATGATTTTATACAGAAAAACCCCTGATGACTCCATAAAAGAACTGTTAGAACTAGTAAGTTCAGTACAGTTTCAGGGTGCAAAGTCAATATACTAAATCTGTTGCATTTCTATACACTAACAATGAGCTAGTAAGAAGAAAAACTAAGAAAGCAATCCCATTTACAATTGTAGCAAAAAGAATAAAATACCTAGGAACAAATTTAACCAAGGAGGTGAATAATATCTACACTGAAAACTATAAGAGAGGGTAAAAGAAATTGAAGACTACACAAAGAAATGGAAAAACAGTCTGTGCTGATGGACTGGAAGAAATAATATTGTGAAAATGTCTACATTACCCAAAGCAATATACATATTCAATGCAATCCCCATCAAAATCCCAAGGACGTTATACACAAAACTAGAACATAAAAATTAAAAAAATATTATATAGAGCCACAAAAGTTTCCTGAATAGCCAAAGACATCCTGAGAGAAAAGAACAAAGCTGGCAATATCACTGTCCCTGATTTCAAAATTATTACACGGCTATCGTAGTCACAACAGAATAGTATTGGCTGAAAATCAAACACAGTGGAGTGGAATAGAATTGAGAGACCAGCAATAAACCTACGCATATATTGACAATCAGTTTACAACAAAGGAACAAAGAACATGCAATGGAGAAAGTATAGTCTTTTCAAAAACGGTGTTGAGAAAACTGGATTGCCATTTGCAAAAGAATGAAAATGGACCACTATCTCACACAATACCCAAAAATCAACTCAGAGTGGATTAGACTTGGATGTAAGACCTGAAACCATAAACTCTTAGGAGAAAACATAAGCAGTATGCTCTTTGGCATGGATCTTAGCAATTTCTTTCTGGGTATGTCTCCTCAGGCAAGGGAAACAAAAGCAAAAATAAACAAATGGGACTATGTCAAATTAGAAAGCCTCTGCATAGCAAAGAAAGCTATCAGCAGCACAAAGGACAGCCTACCAAATGGGGGAAATATTTACAAATCATATATATCATTATTCTAATAATGGGACTAATATCCAACACATATAAAGAACTTACACAACTAAACAACAAAAAACAAATGGGTAGAGGAGCTGAATAGATATACAGATGACCAATAAACACCAAAAAGATGTTTAATATCACTAATTAGGGAAATGCAAATCAAAACCACAGTGAGCTATCATTCCATGTCCATTAGAATAGCTATTATGAGAAATAAAAGTGAGAAATAAGAAATGTTGGAGAGAATGTGGAGAATGTGAATTGGTGTAGCTACTATGGAAACAGCATTGAGATTCCTTAGAAAATTAAGAATAGCACTATCATATACAATCCAGTTTTTCCACTTCTGGCTATTTACTCAAAGAATGCAAAGACATTAATTCAAAAAGATATATGTACCGCTATAGTCCTAGCAGCATTTTTTTCACAATAGTCAAGATATGGAAACAGCCCAGGTGCCCATTGATAGATGAATAGACATAGAAGACTTGATACCTATATATCTATATTTATCTACACACATACTCAGGCCCACACAGTGGAATATGATTCAGCTATAAAAGGTGAAATCTTGCCATTTGTGACACAGATGGACCTTGAAGATATTACACCAACCAAAATAAGTCAGACAGAGAAAGACAAATATATGATTTCACTTATATGTGGGATATAGAAAAAAAAACACCCCCTCAAACAAAGTAAATGAGCAAACCAAACTAAATCAAAACAAACACTTAGATACAAAGTGTTTACCAGAGAGGAAGGGGGTGAGGAGGATGAAATGGGTAAAGGTGAAGGATAGAAACTGACTTTTGGTGTTAAACATGCTGTAGTATATACCGAAATTGAAATATAATGTGGTGTACATGACACTTATGTATTGTTATAAACTAATGTTACCTCAGTAAGTTAAAAAATTCAATTTAATTAAAAAATAAAGATAATGGTTAAGAACTCCACATTACAGACTCATATAGATCTAGTTCAAATTCCAGCTGATAGCTGGGTAGTCTAGGTTAAATCAGCTAACCTCCTTGAGCTAGAGTTTCTTTATACATAATAAATATGCCTGTCTCATATTTATGTGAACATTTAAACTAGAGAGAGCATTCACTACTTAGTGGCTCTTATTAACCTGAAGACATCCTTATTCCACAAGTTCACAGCACAGCTCTGTCCTTTCTCTAGGATATGGGGCTCAAGACCCCCAATTCTTGTGGGAAACTGTGAAATTGGAGAGAGTTGCCTATGGAGTAGTCAGTGGTAGGATGGCAAAAATGGTGGTGGCAATTAAGGGCTGATGCAGATGATAAACTCGATTGGGTAATGGGGCATATGAGTCACCCAATAACCAAAATTCTCCAAATTCCAGAAAGGACTAAAGACTCTTCAGGATAAGTTATCCCAGGATGCAGAGTTGATCGGTCCTCCTCCCTTTGAGCTGTTACTCTGGCATTAACACAAACCCACTCTTGGTAACCCACATTTCCATTATTCCTAAGTACTGGCACTTCCTGCACTATGGACATCTCCTTGAATGAAGGGACCCAAGGGGTTTGGGCTTCCACCTCTTTATGAACCCTGACCTGGAGATCTTGTCTTCTTCTTCATTTTGGACCTGTTCACTAATCCTTGAGGCCCTTGAGGTCCAATATCTTTTCCTCACTCCCTCCTTTTTATTTAATTTTTTAAAATACTTATTTATTTATTCACTTATTTTACTCCCTCCTTTTTAAAGCCAGGACTTGATTGTCTCTGATGGTGCACATATCTCAATTTAATTGCCAACACTGGGACCTTCTTATCTTATACAGCATCTTACCTGGCTTCCCCCCACCCCCAACCTTGTATATACTTCACCCAGTGCTTTTCATACATCGTAAAAGAGACAGCATCCCCAAAGCAACCCTATTATTCTCCCTAAAATAGATACAGAAACAGGTAATTCATTTCGAAAAGGCAGTCAGTTACATTTATGTAGTAACTATTATCCTTTAATCAGTCTGCCACAGAACTTCATCTAAACTTTGGCCTGGAAATCCCCCATGGACTCTGGCAGGTTATCCTCTGGTATTTCTGATTTCTAGTGTTGTTGAAATTTTCTCTGTGTTTTCATGAGGGCAAATCAAGAATCACTATCTTTCTAATATCTTATCTGTGGTTTCCTCATCCACATTTACAGAAACCAGTAATTTTCAGTCTTTGAATACAAAGTTCAATTTATGTAAATTTTTGCAAACAACTTGAAGACTAAGTTATAATTCTTTGTAATATTATCTTCTTTTTCAGCTGAATTTTATCCTGTTTCTGAATACCGTTAGAGTTCTGGCTACTAAAATCTGGGAGACCAATGTGGTTGGGCATGACACGAGAAAACAATACAGGTAATTCCAAGACAGACATCCATAAGAGAAAATATTTTGGTTACTATTTAAGCTAAAGGACAGGTGTCAATTGATCTGAAATGTCTCTAAGAGACTAAATTGTGAACATGTATTTTTGTTTGGTTTAATTGTGCTATTTATCAGAAAAATATATATATTTTAGGAAAATATAAATAACAACAAACCTTCCCATTATGCTTAAATTCTAAGTATATTTTAAAAAATATGTTCTTAGCAATTGGGATTTTACAATAAACTTTGTAACCAGGGCTTACCTGGTGGTTCAGTGGTAAAGAATCCACCTGCCAAGCAGGAGATGCAGGTTCTCTCCTTGGGTCAAGAAGATCACCTGAAGGAGGAATGACAACCCACTCCAATATTCTTGCCTGGGAAATCCCATGGGCAGAGGAGCCTGGTGGGCTACAGTCCAGGAGGTCACAAAAAGTCAGACAGGGCTTAGCGATGGAGCACACACACACAACAAAAATCAAGAAAGTGTATTTGCTATATTGGTTCCAGTCTGCCCATCAAATTGTGTCTGTTGTGTGCTCAGTCATGTCTGACTCTTTGCGACCCCATGGCCTGTAGCCCATCAGGCTCCTCTGTCCATGGGATGTTCCCAGGCAAGAATACTGGAGTGGGTTGCTGTATCCTTCTCTAGGGGATCTTCCTGACCCAGGGACTGAACTTGCATTTCCTGTCTCTCCTGCACTGGGAGGCAGATTCTTTACCACTGTGCCACCTGAGAAGCCTTCCCATCAAGTTGGCACCTCCCAAATAATTGATTTTTAAGAAATTTCAAATATGCTGATTGGAGGAGGTCTATTATTCAGTCTTTGTTGGAAAAAAGGACAAATTAAGTATTTATGAATATGAAAGTGTTAGTCACTCAGTTGTATCCAACTTTTTGTGACCCCTTGGACTGTAGCCCACCAGGCTACTCTGTCCATGGGATTCCCCAGGCAAGAGTACTGGAGTGGGTTGCCATTTCCTTCTCCAGGAGTTCTTCCTGACCCGGGGATCAAACTTGGGTTTCCCGCATTCCAAGCAGATTTTTTACTGTCTGAGCCACCAGGAAGATCCTAAGTATTTATATTATCAAATTATTTTAAGACTATGTCTGTTTCTACCAATGATCATTTCAGAGGTTCTAAATAATTTTGGAACTGGCTTTTAGGCAACTGAACATATACACCCACTAGTCAGGAGCATGTGGATTAGTTTTTGCAATCTCCAAACAAGAATCTATTTCTTTCTGCCTCACGTTGTCATGAAATGCTATCTCAGACGCAGAAAGGAAGAAATCATAGCCAGCATTTCCATCTTCTCTCACAAACATTCTCTAAGTCCTCTGTGGAATCATCCCCCTATACCATGTAGGAAGCATTGACTGTCGGGCAGAAAAGACTACAGGTACAGATGGGCTAAGGTCTAGAATAGGATGCACAGTATGAACGAATGATCAGCTGCTAGCTCCAGTTATTTTCAGTATGGTGCAAGAGGTAGTACTATAAATTGTGCCCAAGCATTTACAGTAAAGTGTCCATGCTATACTAGTATAGCTTGTCTCATTTCACATCCCGTTGGTGCAGACAAAGGTCAAAGGACGATAGACATGGAAAAATGTAAGTAGCCTTTCAATCTTCATAAAATGAAAAAGTGCACTGGTGTTTGAAAGCTGCTTATTTCTCTAGTTCAGAATAAAAGCTACTATTTCCTTTATTTCTGAATGATGTGAAATTATACTTTCAGTAGAAAGTTGCCCAAGAGACTTGAAAAACTCTGGTGAGAACAAAGAGTGGATTATCTTTGAAACTAGCTTACTTCCAAAAAGAAAAAATAAGTAGGGAAAGAAAGAAAGGAAAGAAGGAAGGACGAAAGAAAGGAAGGAAGAAGGTTACAGTCTTTTTAGATTTTTTTAGTTAGTTCAGTCACTCAGTTGTGTCCGACTCTTTGTGACCCCATGGATTGCAGCATGCCAGGCCTCCTGGTCCATCACCAACTCCTGGAGTTTACTCAAACTCATGTCCATTGAGTCGGTGATGCCATCCAACCATCTCATCCTCTGTCATCCCCTTCCTCTCCTGCCTTCAATCTTTCCCAGCATCAGGGTCTTTTCCAGTAAGTCAGTTCTTCCCATCAGGTAACCAATGTATTGGAGTTTCAGCTTCAGCATCAGTCCTTCCAATGAATATTCAGGACTGATTTCCTTTAGGATTGACTTTACTTTGAGATTACTGGGGTTTTAAATGATTCTTAGAGAAAGAGGTATATTTCTTAGAGAAAGAGCCACTTCTTACATCTAAAATGTTGAAGCTGAAGATTTAGGACATAAAAAAAAAAGTGATTTTACAATTTTATGAAAATAGTATCCTTTAAGCAAAAAGAGTAGAAATGAGATTAGAAAGATTTTGGGAGTAATTGTGGTTTTCCCTGGTGGCTCAGATGGTAAAATCTGCCTACAAAGCAGGAGAACTGTGTTCAGTCCCTGGGTCAGGAAGACCCTCTGAAGAAGGAAATGGCAAACCATCCCAGTATTCTTGCCTGGAAAATTCCATGGACAGAGGAACCTGGCAGACTACAGTCCATGGGGTTGCAAAGAGTCAGACATGACTGATCAACTTTCACTTCTTTCAGGGGATAATAATCACCAGAAGTGAGAATAAACCACTTGATTTAGAATAGAAGTGACAGGAAGAAGAGGGAGGCAGGGAAAAGCTAGCAGAAGTAGTGGGTCAAAGATGGGGAAGTCTGTCCCTGTTAGCTCTGCTAAGCTTTATTTTTTCCAGAAAGCTGTGTCTACAGAGGGCTTCCCCAGTGCTCAGTGATAAAGAATCCTCCTGCAATGCAGGAAATGTGGGTTTGATCCCTGGGTTAGGAATATCCCCTGGAGGAGGAAATGGCAACCCACTCCAGTACTCTTTCTTGGAGAATCCCATGGACAGAGGAGCCTGGCTGGCTACAGCCCATAAAGTCTCAAAGAGTTGGACTTGACTGAAGCAACTTAGCACGCACATGTCTACAGAAAAGTGAAGACGTGAAGTCTCTCAGTCGTGTACAACTCTCTGCGACCACATGGACTATCCAGCCCATGGAATTCTCCAGGCCAGAATGCTGGAGTGGGTTGCCATTTCCTTCTCCAATGTCTACAGAAGGGCACTCTATACTGACTAATTAAAAGACTTGCCATTCTCTTACAGGAAACTCGCCAAATCCACACTGGTGCTGGTGATGGTCTTTGGTGTACATTACATCGTGTTCGTGTGTCTGCCCCATTCCTTTGCGGGGCTGGGGTGGGAGATTCGGATGCACTGTGAGCTCTTTTTCAACTCCTTTCAGGTAGAGAGTGCCATCTAGTAATGTGATTCCTATATTTTGCCCTCCTCTCCACCCCCGGCTCCTGCAACACCCTCCGACGCTACCAAATTGCAAGCTCATGTCTCTGACTCTTCTCTGGGTGGTGACCCACCCGTCTCCCAGGGGCCAGGAAAGGGGCCATTTTCTAGCACCTGTGCTTTTCTACCCTGCGGAGGTCAGCTTAACCTCTTACCACAGCAGGAGCATGGGCTGTGAGACAGGAAAGCATATTGCTGTAACATATGTGACACCTTTAGAGCAGGAATCTGTGTGTGTGTGGAAAGTCAATGAAACAAAAGACAGGATAGGCAGGCGAGAGGGAAAAAGGGAAGGGGAGACAAGAAAGAGGAAGAGGTTGCTTCCATACAATTGATCTCAGTAGAAAACACGATAGCATCATCCCTCACACGGACGGCTACACACGCCTCCTAACTCTTCCTGCTACTCATTTGCTGCCACCTCCTGCCTTCAACCTAGTCTTCATAGAATAGCCTGAAGACTCTTAAAGATAAATCTGACCATGTCACTTATCAGCTGGACATATCCAGAGGCTTCGCATTGCAGTCAGAATGAAATCCAAACAGTGTTTCCTGGTGTGCACAGCCCTACGTTGCAGGGATCCTGCCCAGCTGTGATCTCACCTCACATCATGTTCCCCGCCGCCCACTAAGTCTGAGCCACACTAGCTCATCCACGGTTTCTGTTCCTCAGGTTCACTTCTGCCTCAGGGGCTTGTACTTGCTGTTTTCTCTGCCTGGAATGCTCTTCCCTCTAATATTCATATGGCCTGGCTTCTTCTCACTCAAATCAGCTTAAATGTCACCCTCTCAGAGAGGTCTTCATCGAGCTCCCCCTCTGATAGATCTTCTCCACTCTTCTCTTCCAACACCACTTGTTTTGCCTGAATAGTCTTTATCTCATCATTTTACGATTTTCTCCTGTGGCTATTTGTTTATATTTTATTCATCTGTATTCTCTTCCAGAATATAAGCTGTAAAGTGAACAGGGACCTTATCTGTCTTGATTAAATTATTTATCTCTGTAACACTGAGCATTTCACAGTGTGTAAAGTCAACAAATATTTTTGAATGAATGGGGAAAAAAGTTTGTGTTTTCACTATAATATACCCTACGCCTATAGTTGCCAACATTCACAGTGTATAAATTTCACTTACCAGCTAGGGCATGTTCTGTGATTCTGAGTGGCAAACATGAAATTAACATGATAAAAATCAGTTATTCATGTATCCTGGAGTATTTTATTTATTTATTTGGTTAATTTGACACCAAGGAAAGATCTCAGACAAATTTCATATATATTTAAGGATTTGGAAATATTAGGAGAGAATAACTTGTATAATTTTCTGGAGGGATCATTTTAAAAAACCTGTTTTTCAACATATGCATTTTGACACAAGATGCTTTAGTGCTATGATCTTCATAATTAAAATTAATTAATTAAAACATTCTATTTTCTCCTCCAGGGTTTCTTTGTGTCTATCATCTACTGCTATTGCAATGGAGAGGTAAGTTTGAAGGAACCCCAGACCCCTGGTAGGTCTATCTCAGTATAAATGGCTATCACAATATGACCTGAATCTCTTTAGAATCCCCGGGGCTTACAGGAAAGAATGGGCAGGGAGAAAGGATATATTTTCATCATAAATTATTTTGATAAAGCAAGAATTGATGTAAATAAGCCAAGGTCTTCCTCTTCCAGCACTTTGCAATGTCAATTCAGTTGCAAACCTTGATGTCAGAAGCCCAATTTGTTGGAATGCAAATTGATACTTGGAAGCACAGTGAACATCATATTCCAGTCAGTGCTTCAACTTACATTTAATTTCACGTTCTATAAGAAAATCAAATGTAACTCTCTGGGAATAACCCATTAGAACATTGTGACATTTTTTAAACTACCAGATGGTGATGGGACAATTTCAGTTCATTTACGAGTTGCCTGGAGAGAAAGAATGGTACTAATCTTCTAGGTGACATCAGCTTATCTGGTTTCCACTGCTTCCCATGGGACTTTCAAAAAGCTCCCTTCTGGAAAGTTGGAGTAGCAGAACTGAATCTTCAGCAGCAAGAATGGAAACGAGAGCCCTACCCCGCTAAGAATGCCCTTGCAGTGCCCACTTTTCATAGTCCAGTCCTCTTCCCGGTTCCTCTCCTTCAGTATGCCTGTGCAGAGCGATAGGGTTACAGTTGCATTTACAGATGAGCATCGTCCATGCCCTTCCACAGCCTCAGCGGGCGCTGTGTATCCACATTTCTCCTCCAACCCAGACCCCTCTTTTTCCTCTCCCATGAGTCACACATTTATAGTGGCTGCGTTTCAACTTCTGTTAAAGCACTAACCTTGGACAAATCCTTTTGCCTCTCTCTAAGCCTGTTTGCTCGTCTCAGTAATCACACCTCTCAGGAAGAGATTGAGAGAGAATACACAGTTGACCCTTGAACATCACAGGTTTGAACTGCATAGGTCTACTTATACATTTTCACTCTATATGCACTACTGTACCACACCATCTTGGGTTGGTTGACTCCACCCATGTGAAACTCCAGATATAGGCTAACTGAGAATTCACAGGGGATTTTTCAGCTGCAGGTTGTGGGCACCCGTAATCCCTGCGTTGTTGAAGTGTCAACCGTATATATAAAGTCCCTGGTACACGGTGGAAATTTAGTGATTATTACTATCAATGAAGTCAGGGCACACATCCATCCAATAAGGCTGCAGGGCCTCTGAAGGTTTTTGATGCATGAAATGGTCCTTGTGGTGTTTAGGTTCAGTCTGAGGTGAAGAAGTTATGGAGTCGGTGGACTCTCTCCGTGGACTGGAAAAGGACGCCCCCGTGCGGCGGCCACAGATACGGCTCCGTGCTCACCACGTTGACGCACAGCACCAGCAGCCAGTCGCAGATGGCGGCCAGCGCGCGCATGGTGCTCATCTCAGGCAAAGCCTCCAAGAAGGCCAGCCGACAGCCCGACAGCCACGTGACTTTACCTGGCTACGTCTGGAGTAACTCGGAGCAGGACTGCCTACCACAACTTGGTCTCCATGAAGAGTCCAAGGAAAGTGGCGGGAGGCAGGGAGATGAGATTCTAATGGAGGAGTCTTCCAGACCGTTAGAATTTAACACAGGCCTGGAAGGAAGCAAAGGAGAAACCGAGGATGATCTGTGAATCCCTATCTGTGGCTTTGAAGAGCTGGTTCCTCTGGTTGTGTCAGAGGAACTTAGCCTGCATGCCGCTGCTTAGCCCCAGAGCTGAGCAGTCAGAGCTCCAGTGTTCACAGCCCATTTTCAGGCTCCATGAATTGGCTCCTGTAAATACTAAAGCCACAAAAGGAGAAAGTCAGTGCAGCAGTTTATTACTTTATTTTGGCATCAAATTCTTTTCTGAGTTAATGTGCAGTACTTGCTCTGTGATGTTCATTCTTCTGCTCCTTTTGGGTAGAAAAACATTTCAGTTGCTTGGTTCTAGTTTTCTCTTGTAAATATCACTCTAAATATGATAGAGATCATTTGGTATGTGACATTTTCCTTTAAACAAATCAGTATTCTTTTTTCCACTTTAAGGGACTTCTATCATTCCATTCATTTTGTCTGTGCATAGGAACAATTAGGGTCTAAAAATGTACATTGAAAGATTAAAGATCGCAGAACAAGTACACACTAGAAGATACGTTGTCTGGATTTTGTTAAAATAATAAATGTGTGAGAAACTTGTTTCATTCTAGGAAAAAGGGAAATTAGTCAAAAAAAGAATATTGCACATATTCCTATTTTTGAATGTCCCCTCTGTGACCAGCCAAATCTCAAGTCTTCACTCTCTTGTAAACCTTAACACAAGGTTTTCTTGGTCAGTGAGCTTATGTCTGCAAACAGATTTTGTTTGTAATCATTTATAGTGATGGTCACACTGAATTTATTTATTTTTCTTTGTTCTGTTACTGTATTCCAGATGGCATGTGGGATAAATTAAAGTTTGTTTTAAAAATACATTTTGAGTCACTTTTTAAAATGTTCTCTTAGCATCTAACTTTGTTTCTAGGAATCAAATGTCCCATCTTCAAATCTACAGAGATCACATGTAGCCCAGAACTTCACTGAGCTTGACAAGTCAGCACATTGTAGCAGTTAAATATTTATTGTATGCATGTTGGGTACACACATCCTGCTAGGTTTTTACACACATTAACTTATTTAATCCTCACCACTAAGTTTATGGAGTAAGTCTTACTGCTGTCTCCTTTTTACAAATGACTGTGACTCATGGAGGTAGATTGACTTGCCCAAAGTCACACAACTAGTGATTGAGAGAACATGGTTTCAGACCCAGATCTACTGACTTGAAGCATCTTTTTCTGTCCCTGTTGACCACCTGCTTATCTTCTTTGGAGAAATGTCTGTTTAGGTCCTCTGCCCCTCCCCCCTTTTTTGATTGATTATTTATTTTCTGATACTGAGCTGTCTGAACTATTTGCATATTTTGGAAATTAAATCCCTTGCTGGTCAAATCCTTCACAAATATTTTTCCCCATTCTGTAGGCTGTCTTTTTGCTATGGTTGTCTGTGCTGTGCAAAACTTTCATGTTTGATTAGGTCTAATTTGTTTGTTTTTGTTTCTACTGCTCTAGGAGAAATATCAAAAGAAAAAAAAATTGTTGTGATTTTTGTCAGAGTGTCCTGCCTATGCCTTCTTCCAGGAGTTTAATATTATCTGGATTCACATTAAGTCTTTAATCCAGTTTGAGTTTATTTTGTATAATATGTTAGAGAATGTTCTAGTTTCATTCTTTTATGTGTAGCTGTCCCGTCTTCCCAGCACCACTTATTTAAGAGACTGTCTTTTCTCCATTGTACATTCTTGTCTTGTCATGGATTAACTAACCATAAGTATGTGGGTTTATTTCTTGGATTACTATCATATTCCATTGATCTACGTGTCTGTTTTTGTATGAGTTCTATACTGTTTTTATTATTGTAGTTTTATAGTGTAGTCTGAAGTCAGGGATTATGATTCCTCCAGTTCTGTTCTTTCTCAAGATTGTTTTGTCTATTTGGGGTCTTTTGTGTCTCTACAAATTTAAAGTTTTTCTGTTCTAGTTCTGTGAAAAATACCATTGGTAATTTGATACGGATTGCATTGACTCTGTAGATTTTCTTGGGTCATATAGTCATTAGAACTCACTTTCTTACCAGCAGTTATTTTTATAATTATAAATATTTATACAGTTGAGTTTATTAAAAGACATTCTCATCTTTTTTAGTTATTAAGTATTTTGGTCCATGAATTGGATTTCAGTCTTGTTCTCTCTTTAGGCCTGTTCTGTCTGTGTCCTCCACTCTTGAACCCTCTCCCTGAGACAAACAGAGAAGCAATTTCTCCCAGGAAGTTCAGTTCTGAACGGATGGGCAGTTTAGAAATAACATATACAAAGAATTATATATATATACACTGGCTTTGTTTTAGGTACTAAGCTCAGTATTTTCAGTATATTTTATCATACAGTCTTCATTACACTCTGTGATGCAGTTATCACCATCTCAAAAATGTCGTGATAATCAGAAGTAAAACAATTTGCTCAAAATCACAGTGGCTGAGCCAAGATTTGAACCCAGTTCAGTTTAACTCTAAAATTCCTCATTATTCTCTCACCCATGTGACCCTTTTAAATTTTCTTTATCAAGAGCCTAGTGGTATGCCAAGTCAGTGAGGAAATAAAAAATAATTATTAATAGTTCCAACTATTTTAATGGTAGAGTTACCAATAATCAAGGACAAGTAAAAAAGAAATAATAGCAGACAATAGTTTTTGATAAAAGCATTAAAAATTATTTACTTATTTAATTTAATCTTGGCTGTGCTGGGTCTTCATTGCTGCATGGGCTTTTCTCTAGTTGTGAAGAGCAGGGCTACTCTCTAGTTGTGGTCCATGGGCTTCTCATTGTGGGGGCTTCTCTTGTTGCAGAGCATGGACTCCAGGGTGCTTGGGCTTCAGTAACTGCAGCACACGGGTTCAGTAGTTGCAGCTCTCTAGAGCACAGGCTCCATAGTTGTGCCTCACGGGCTTAGTTGCTCCAAGGCATGTGGGATATTCCTGGACCAGGGATCAAACCAATGTCTTCTGCATTTGCAGGTGGATTCTCTACTACTGAGCCACCAGGGAAGCCCCAAGCATTTTTATTAACCAGTGTATCATGACTATCAAAATGAAAAATAATTTTTCAGTTTATGCTCTTTTTAAAATTTCACCCAAGATATCTAACTCGTTTATAAAGATCTAAATCCCGTTCTTTTTTTTTTAAGAATGTACACATACCTTACTGACAGTTGGTACGTAAAGGAGTATTTTGTTAACATTTTTATTTGATGTAAAGTAAATGTGGTCATGTTTTCATTATGAATAGTAAGGGGGGATTAAAAAAAGAAAAGATCATAAAATTAAAGGCAGAAATGTGGATGAGTTTCTTTAAAAGCATTGACTCCTAAGGAACCCGGTCATTCTTTACCAGTTAACATGTAGTGCACCAATCTTTTCATATGATCTGGTTCTTAGTTACTTATTTTACAAATGAAATCACAGTGTTCTAACAGAGGAAGTCCGCAAATTGTGTTTTCTTTCAAATTCTTCAATCCTGGAGAAATAATAGGTGCTCTTATTATAAAGTAGTATTATTATAAAGTATTAAGTGCAACATCAATGACTTACATCTATTAGAGGTAACATAGTTTCAGTAAATATGTAGAGGAGAATCTGCATCCCATGATGTATTTCATTTCTGAACAAAGTATTTTTAAACATAGGGAACATTACTTTTCTATTTGACACATAGATTTCCAAGCTGTTATGTAAGTGTTGTTTTTCTGTGTATACAGGTAAAATGTCTTGATAACCTCTAAATCCTGTTCTTAGGCTGCCTTAGGAGACTGTGGAAAATTTGCCTATCTCTTGTTGCAGAAATGGCTTTGAAAAACTTTGCCTTTAGATTACTCGTCTTTATGACACTTAAAGACAACATTTATGTGGGGTTTCCATTTTTTCACTGATAAAATGGTTGTCTGAGGAGGCCTTAGAATAGCTGAGAAAAGAAAAGACACGAAAGGCAAAGGAGAAAAAGAAAGATATGCCCATTTGAATGCAGAGTTCCAAAGAATAGCAAGGAGAGATAAGAAAGCCTTCCTCAGTGATCAATGCAAAGAAATAGAGGAAAACAATAGAATGGGAAAGACTAGAGATCTCTTCAAGAAAATTAGAGACACCAAGGGAACATTTCATGCAAAGATGGGTTCCATAAAGGACAGAGATGGTATGGACCTAACAGAAGCCAAAGATATTAAGAAGAGATGGCAAGAATACACAGAAGAACTGTACAAAAAAGATCTTCATGATCCAGATAATCACGATGGTGTGATCACTTGCCTAGAGCCAGACATCCTAGAATGTGAAGTCAAGTGGGCCTTAGGAAGCATCACTACGAACAAAGCTAGTGGAGGTGATGGAATTCCAGTTGAGCTATTTCAAATCCTAAAAGATGATGCTGTTAAAGTGCTGTACTCAATATGCCAACAAATTTGGAAAACTCAGCAGTGGCTACAGGACTGGAAAAGGTCAGTTTTCCTTCCAGTCCCAAAGAAAGGCAATGCCAAAGAATGTTCAAACTACCACACAATTGCACTCATCTCACACACTAGCAAAGTAATGCTCAAAATTCTCCAACTAGGCTTCAACAGGACATGAACCATGAACTTCCAGATGTTCAAGCTAGATTTAGAAAAGGCAGAGGAACAAGAGATCAAATTGCCAACATCTGCTGGGTCATTGAAAAAGCAAGAGAGTGCCAGAAAAACATCTACTTCTGCTTTATTGACTACTCCAAAGCCTCTGTGGATCACAATAAACTGTGGAAAATTCTTAAAGAGATGGGTATACCTGCCTCTTGAGAAATCTGTATGCAGGTCAAGAAGCAACAGTTAGAACTGGACATGGAACAACAGACTGGTTCCAAATTGGGAAAGGAGTACGTCAAGGCTCTATACTGTCACCCTGCTTCTTTAACTTATATGCAGAGTACATCATGAGAAATGCTGGGCTGGATGAAGCAAAAACTGGAATCAAGATTGCCAGGAGAAATGTCAATAATGTCAGATATGGAGATGACACCACCCTTATGGCAGAA